TTTAGTTCTCCATCGAGCAGCATTGGTTTCATTCCTTAATGTTAATTAGGAGCAGAGATACGATTTTTTAATTAGCGGGCGAGTTGTCGGGAGTCACTGCGCCGAGAAACCATTGAGTTTTTCATAGCGCCGCGACTTTCGTCGCAGTTATAATTTTTTCATTACAGAGATTAAGGAATGAAACGGGGGTTGAAGGATGGGGAATTTAATTCTCCATCGAACAGCATTAGTTTCATTCCTTAATATTAATTAGGAGGAAAGAGACGATTTTTAAACTAGCGGGCGAATTACTGGGGAAGCGCTCTGCGCCGAGAAACCATTGAGTTTTTCATAGCGCCGCGACTTTCGTCGCAGTTTTTATTTTTTTATTACAGAGATTAAGGAATGAAACGGGGGTTGAAGGATGGGGAATTTAATTCTCCATCGAACAGCATTGGTTTCATTCCTTAATATTAATTAGGAGGAAAGAGACGATTTTTTAATTAGCGGGCGAATTAATGGGGAGTCACTCTGCGCCGAGAAACCATTGGGTTTCTTATAGCGCCGTGACTTTCGTCGCAATATTAATTTTTTTATTGCAGAGATTAAGGGATGAAACGGGGGTTGATGGATGGGGAATTTAATTCTCCATTGAACAGTCTTTGTTTCATCCCTTAATATTAATTAGTCGGCGAATAAATCAACTGAAAAACATAAAGTAAACATTGAGTACAAGGAGGACAAAAATCCCCCTCCGAACCTGTCCCTGTCACAGCGGGACTGCTACTGCCGAGTTACTCACGCACCCGACTTACATTTACCGACAATTCGACCGGAACGCCGCCTTTCCCGTGGGGTACCAACTAACTTTTTTGGAGTCAGTCAAACCCCCCGATCCGGGCCTCTACTCAGGTCTATCCTCTTTGGTCCCCACCATGCTCAAAGTGAGGCAAATTGAATGTCAGCCAGCGCTGCAGTATAGTAGCTCAGGTACTAAAGATGACGTCATTGCGCATGCGCGCCGTAGTGGCGCGCCACGTGTTCGGTAAATTGCCGTGGAAATGTTCTCCACCTCAAAAGCCCCGCGTCCTGTGGCCACGTCAGTTGTCTTTTGAACGATCTCCAACCAAATTATTCGGTTTTGTTGATAAAATGGTGCGGTGTCATTTTT